CGCAGGGGCGCTGCGCCCCGGCGTCCCCAACTTCCAGGCCCGGGGGCGGGGGAGCCGAGCGGGGTGGCGCCCGAACCGGCCCTGAGCGGACTGTTCCTCTGGGTCAGGAGCCTCAGAACACGAGAGCCTCACCGCACGTCCCCCGATCGCGTCCCCACGATCAAAGAGTGAAAACCACTAACGTGCACAGCATGGCGGTTAGACTTTCTGGTCTCAACGCAGTTCTCCCACGTGGGATCCGGCTCCTTGTTCCCTGCTGTGTACGTTGGGCAAACAACTTGACCTCTCTTGGCTTTCTCTGCAACCGTGGGGATAGTAACAGTGGAGACAGTAATAGTGCTTTCCCTCCCCATAGGGCTGCTGTGAGAACTGTGAAATACTCTCAAGTGCTTGGCACGAGAACTTGTACCTAGTTACGAACTTGTTTTAAGAGTCAGGCGTGTGATCGCAGGCAAGTCGATCCCGCTAGGGCTGCTTTCCCTAAAAACAATCTCCAGAGTCTCTTCTCCCTCACAAGCTTCTCTGGTGTTAGACAGGCCTCTGGGATCCCTTGGAAGTTGACTGATACTAGGCTGGGCTGGGCTGCCTCTCAAACAGAACTCTGTAAGAGCCTCTGGCTACAGCTGAATCCAACCACCTGACACATCTCTGGGAACCTCCTCTGCCTACTCCCCCTCGGGACTGCGTTTGAAAATGCCTTCTGCTGGGCATCATGGCTCATACCTGTCATCCCAGCACTTTGGGAGGCCGAGGTGAGAGGATGGCCTGAGCCCAGGGGCTGGAGACCAGCCTGGGTAACTTGGCAAGACCTCATCTCTACAATAAATAAAAAAAATTAGCTGGGCGTGGTGGCACATGACTGTAGTTCCAGCTACTTGGAAGGTTGAGGAGGAAGGATCACCTGAGCCCAACAGGTTGAGGCTGCGGTGGCTGTGAGCGTGCCACTGCACTCCAGCCTGGGTGACAGAGGAAGACGCCGACTCAGAAAAATATAAAATAAAATGCCTTCTAAGTCTGGGTTTTTTTTCTCTCATCCCTGTCACCGGAGGCTCTTAAAGCCAGCTCCTGATGTGTCTGTCTCAGTGTGGGAATCCTACAGAAAAAGAAAACATGCTTGACAACCGCCTCCTCCTCTAAGCCCTAACAACGGACAACTTTGCTTCCCAGCTCATTTTCTATGGAGTTTGCCTTGGCCTTAGCGGAGACTCCCATCGATCGGGCCCCACATCCTTTAGGTGGAGGCTCACACTTTGTTTCGGCGCAGCTCCAGTCAGGCCGGGAGGTTACAGCTCTCCCCTAAGCCACAGCCTCCGACATGGAGGATGGGGGAAGGGGGTGTCTGGGAGCATCCAGGAGCAGCCAAGAAACTGCTGGACACTCACTCACAAGGGCTCTAAGCAGCCAACAAGTGACTCAGTGCTCTGCTTTCCAATGCCTGGGAGAGTCAGTTTCAGGTGAGTTCATTTTCCGGCTGATGTCATCAAACAAGAGTTTAGGGCAGTTTTTCTCATCCCTGCCTGCAGGCTGGAATCACTTGGGTGTTTAAAAAATACTGCCACCTGGATGCCCCTCCCAGCGATTCTGATTTAATTGACCTGGTTGGCCGCCTGACTTTGGGTTTTAATCACATTAATTTAGGAAATAAAGACCTACAGGGGAAAAAGACACTCATACTGCAAGTATCTTTTTGTTTTTGAGTCTGGGTCTCCCTCTGTCGCCCAGGTTGGAGTGTAGAGGCATGATCACTGTTCACCGCAGCCTCAGTCTCCTGTGATCAGGTGATCCTTTGGCCTCAGCCTCCAGAGTAGCTGGGACTACTGGCGTGAGCCACTGTGCCCAGCGACATACTGCAAATATCAGATACATCAACTGCAGTTACTAGGGAAGGGATTGGGGCCAGGAAAAAATGGAGTCCTGGATCCCCTTCAGCCTCATCTTTACTTAGGTGGAAAGACAACAAGAAATTCAAAAGAAATCCACCAGGGACATTACCTTCTGAATGACAACCGTTTAAGCTAGGAAGAGCCCACTTTGGGAATAGGATTTGCAAAGGACATTGGTAAATTAGCATAAAAATGCTTTTAGTAGTAGTAGAAAAATATGTGTTTTACATTGGTGAGTAATGAGTGAAATGTCTTAATCTCAAAGGTGATATGATTCTACCTCAGGAAGCTGACTTCTCCCTTCCTCTAAGGACATCTGTCTCTTCAAGTCTTGACTACTTTCACCAGTTTAGGAACCACTCTGTCTACAGGGATGCACTCCTTAATGGCATTCTGGTCAACAAAACACAGCCTAGGTGTGTGATAGGCACTGACCTACAGGTTCGCACAAGGAAGAAATCGCCTCATGCTGCATCTCTCAGAACTCATCCGCCTCTTTGTTAATCAACACTGGACTGCATTGCATTTCTTCATCACTCCTTCAACATCCCTACAGGCTACAACCAAAAGTGCCTTAAACGGGAGTATGATCAATACAAGACCAAAAAAAGAAAAGTATACCATATTTAAGGACAATTCTCCAGTGGGAGAAAAAAGAACCAAAACACCATTCAAGAACCGCCCCTCTGCCTGCCCCGCCTCCCAGCTGACTTTAAATAGCTTCTTTCCCATTTCTGCCCCACCCCATTCCAGTCCTCCCTTAAGCAAGACTTTTCAACAAAGACATGATAACATTACATAGTTACAATCATCATTCTCTTTTTTTCTTTAAGATTGTTAGTGACGTCCCCCCCCCTTGCCTTCAGTTCATACTGGGTTATTTTCAAATTCTCTGCATTCTTTTCCTTATAAGGAATATCTCTCCTTGGTCTATCAGCCGCTCTTTTGAAAAAGTTAAATAAACGTCCTGCTGGAGAATTTGGGGAAGACGGGCATCTACCATTCAGCTATATACAGAGCAGACATCTAATGGGCATTATGCAAAGCAGGTTCAGAGTTATATACTTTTTTGTGTGGCTCTTTTTCTAAAGTCAGGTAGCTTATCATTTAAATGTTAAGCCAAACCAGTGACTTCCCTGAGTTCCCTCTTTCTAGGAAGTTCGATTTTTCACTGAAAATTTCTTTTTGTCAGATTCTAAATGTCCTGTGTCTGGCTTTCTCCTAAATGAAGCACACCTGGAGTCACATTTCAAACCTTTTGTGCTACGAAAAACTTTTAATAAACTCAAGACCCGAGACCCTTCAGTAATTTGCACTTGACTCTCACACAAAAAATTCTGCTGTTGCACTTGGCAGTTTCAGCTTCTGGGACAGCTTTTCCTGGTGCCCACACATTCTTGGAATTGTTACCAGCTTCCCAAGGAATTCTTTTCTAATTGGGCCTCTAGGCTTAATTAGCTTCTAGAACGAATTCCACTGGTGTGAAAAGAAGTCTGTCCTTTGGAAGTCTAATGATTGGCTTGACTTTCCGAGGTAGAAGAGGCAAGCTCTTCAACTTAAAAGATTCCAAAGGGCAGCCATCAAAGCGCAAGCAGAGCCTTGGCCCTGTGCATCACGCCTGAAACTGTGGTGGTTGTCAGAAGGCTGACAGGTGGGGGCGGGGCCAGCAGGAGGGCAGGGGGCAGCCAGCTCACTATACCATATAAAGCACTGAGCTATATATAACTCACAGCTTACTTTCTGGATCTAGTACCCTCACACTGCAGACCCAAGCAAGTATCATCTTCCCAGGCAGATCTTAAGGGCTGGATTAAGCCTTGGCCAGTGAGAAAGGAAGCCTCTGAGTGTGTCTGCGCCCCATCACGAAGCCCCGCCTGCGATGTAAAAGTCCCACTACGTCATTTCTTTGATGGAGAGGCTAGGCCCTCTCTGTACACTGACTAGACCCATTACTAAAACCCAGAACCTCGCACCCACTGGAGAGGGCAAAAGGGAAGAAAGCGAAGAAACCCAAGTATGCTCTGCACAAACCTTGACGATGATCCCTCAGGGATTTTCCGCCACCAGTGAAGCCAAGGTTACCTCCAGAGTCCAGTTTCAGCTGCTAGGTTCTCCCAGCTCCCCACCCACCCATCCACCCATCTCCACTCTCAGGGAGGTAAAGGACAGGAGAAAAAGAGAGGAGTGGATGAAATATAAATGAACGTGTGCAGCAGCGGTCAGAGGCGGCATCCAGGGCTCTGGGCCACAGCAGGGCTGCGTGCAGGTGTCCAGCGGGAGGAGGTACTCTCCTCCGGGGCTCTCGGGCCCCTGCGGTGATCCCAGAGTGGCCACGCGGGCGAGAGGTGAGGGAGGGGGTGCAGTGTGAGCGTGCACTTACGTCGGTGGCCTTTTTCTCCGCCAGCTCCAGCTTCTCCTGGGCATCTTTGAGAGCCTCGGAGTATTTGTCCAGTTCATCTTCGGTGCCCTTGAGTTTCTTTTGCAGCGACACCAGCTCATCTTCCAGCTGGGAGTTGGCCAGGGGGTACGGGAAGGGGGGGGTGCAGCAGGCAGCGTGATCCCGCAGGGGAGGGGTGTGGGTGCACAGAACCAGAAGGACAGGGACAGCGGGAGAGAGGGAAGGACAGGGAGAGAGGAAGAGAGAGAGAGAGAGAGAGAGAAAGAGTTAGCCACTCGTGCGCCACCGCGCCGCGCGCCCCGGGTACCTTGGCGGCGGCCTCGTCGGCAGCCAGGAGGCTGTCCTCCGCCTTGTGCAGCTCCTCCAGCACCCGGTCCCGCTCGTCCTCCGACGCCCGCAGCAGCTTCTCCTTGGCCGCGATGTCCTCCTCGAGCTGGGGGCAGCGGCGGGCGGGCGCGGGCG